GTTGTTCCTCGGAGCTCGCATTCCACATCAATTTATTGCCTCCCTCACTTCTTTGAATCTGTGCAGACGGATGAGTGCGTGCGATTTTTCTTGCATTCCCTTTTTTTTTTTTTTTGGAAGGGGAGTGCATATAAAGATGCTGCCTCCCATCTGAGAACAGTAATGTAATCGTAGATGTATCCCAAAATGCCATGGGACAGAGCAGCAGTGCAAAAGACGGCATGATGCATAATGGTCTCACACGAGGTGTCGTGTTTCCATTTTCTATGATGCTTCAGTTCTAGGATTCACCACAGTTTGCCAGCGTATTTCTTGTTTGTTTGTTTTACAGCTGCTCAGGCAGTTTCATTGTGGACATGTCCCATAACTAATGACAGAATTTTAGCTGCAAAACTGACAAAAGTCTTGTTATTTGGGAGGTTTTATCTTAGGCATTGTTTTAAAAACATGCTGCCTGGCCAGATAAGAAATTCCCCCTGGTGGAACCTTCAATAGTCAGCACAGACAGGCCTATTCACAAGACGTCACTGACTGTGAATAATAAAACAGGACTCACAAGTCACATTTTATATGCAGAGCCTCCTCATGTTACACTGACTGAGACCTGCATTTTTCTCATATTTGTAAGATTTTAGACGTGCAACAAAACACATGATTTACTTTCCAGAATGTGTTATTTTCTTTAACAGAACTCAATGGTGGAATATTGTAAAACATTTCCCCCCTACTGCATTTGCCTTGTGCATTCAGTCATTCCTTATATAGCTTTTTTTTCAAGGTTATTAGGGGGCAGAAGCAGCTTATCTCCACACACATTGTGCTGAGGGGCAGGCCTGACAGCTCATTATAGGTCATCTACATGAAGAGATCCATAATTACACTGCTGTATGTAAGGATACCATACTTTATTGATCCCCATGGGAAATTTCTTTTTGTGGCCTGTTATAATGAATAAGGCAGTTGAAGGTGAGACTGCTGGGTCAGAGGTCGAGACTCAGGGACTCGTGAACAAAACCGAACATTTACTTCAGTAACTGTTTGAGACATTTTAAAACCACTGTCGTGTATATTTTGACCTTAAGCTTGGAAATGACGTCAGTATCCGTGCATTCAACTGAATTATAGCAATTTTTGTGTTAGCTATGGTTAATGAGTTGTGGTAGTCATGCTGAATTGGGTTGACTCCAAATTTTAAAGTAATGTAGACGTACATCCTTTGGTTAATTTGTGAGAATTTCACTAAAATCTGCCCAGTGGTTTATGAGAAATTATGCCAACAGACAAACAAGGGTAGCGCCAACAGTTAATGCCAAAGTTTTAAGCAAGTATGCTATACTATGAGAAGCTCTCAGAGTATGTTTTGTGAACGATATTCAGCTACTACCATACCAAATTTTAACTTAATGTTTGTAAAATTGACCGAGTTACAGTTATTTTTGTGTTTGCTACGATCACTTAGCTTTGACAGCCATCTTGAATTGGGTTAACTCAAAAAGTTGATCACTTCTATAAGAACATTCACTGAACACTTTCTGAACGTTTCATTGAAACCCATCCAACTGTACATGAGATATATGCTAACAAGCAGGAATGGTGGCGCAGAGGTTAGAGAAGGTGGGCCTGTAATCGGAAGATCGCCGGATCAACTCCCAGTACTGACAACATCAAAATGTGTGTGGGGATAGGTGAAGCACCCACACCTGCCTCCAACCTTATTTGCCCCATTCTGGCTCCTTGAGCAAGGCCCTTAACCCCCAACATCTGCTCGCCCGGGTGCCCAGCTCTCTGCTCCACACAGAGGGCTGTGGTAACTCAGTGGTATGTGGTTGCATAAAGAAGGGCATCCGGCATAAAAATTATTGCCAAGTCTTTGAGCGACTTACTTCGCTGTGGCAGCCCCTGAAGAAGGGAGCAGCTGAAAGAAAAACTATATATATATATA